ACCAAGCAACAAAAACAAAAGAAAATAAACAAACCCTAAGCAAAGGGGCTCCAATAGAAAAAATAAATTACTGTAGTAATTTTAATCCCTCTGCTATCTTCCACCATTCCCTTTCTCTTCGGAAAAGCTACAGAACGTTTCCATTAGCACTACTTTTATTGCTCCATTATGTTTACACTTAAAATTATTGTTGCATTTTCCTACAGAAGCTGTACAGCATGAAGGGAGATGCTGGCTAGGAGTGACAGTAATTGCTTGGAAAGGAGACTTGCCCTCAGGAGTGGGAGCAGCAGCACCAGGAGGAGGAGGAGGAGGAGGAGGTGGTGATCCAGTTGCTTCAGGTTCAAAGTGAACTTGCAAAGAAGGGCCATTAAAAAAATGGTAATTTTTTTTTAAAAAAAAAAGAAAAAAAAACTCAAAAAAAAAAAAAAAAAAAAGATGGAAATGAAAAACAATAATAACAAAAATCAAAAACTGCAAAAGAAAACACCCACCCAACCACCACCACTATTACTCAATAACAAAAGATTCAACCAACCAAACCCAAACTAAAACCAAAAATATCTAAGCAAATCAGGACCAATAGAAAAAAAAGTGACCCTAGTAATTTTAATCACTGTGTTATCTTTCACCATCCCCTTTCTCTTCTGAAAAGTCAGAGATCATTTCTGTTAGCACTAGCTTTATTTGTCCATTATGTTTAAAATCAAGTAATGTTGTATTTCCCTATGAAAGCTTAGCAGCATGAATGGAGATGCTGCCTGGAAACGCACATATAAGAAACTATAATTTCTTGAAAAGCAGACTTACCATCAGGAACAGAAGCAACAGCAGGAGGAGGTGAACCAGCTGCTTCAGGTGCAAAGTGAACTTGCAAGGATTCTGTTCAGAGAAAGTAAATGTTAAAAAGCAAGGAAATGGACAGAACTGAAGGGGTTTATGGTTGCAAGGAAAGGCTATTACAGAAATGTTAATAATTTATAACAGAAAGAAAGGAAAATCCTTTGTTAAAAAAAAAGGAAAGAAAGATAAAGAAAGAGAAAGAAAGAAAAAGAAAAATAAAGAAATAGAAGGAAAGAGAAAAAGAGAGAAAGAGAGAAAAAGAGAAAGAAAGGTAATATTAAAAAAAAATCCCAAAACTAACACCCACCCACCACCACCACTCCCCCCCAAAAAAACAAACAATCCAACTAATCAAGCAACAAATCCAAACTAAAACAAAACAAAAAAAAAAACCACCACAAATAAACAGTGACCAATAGGAAAAAAACTTACCATAGTAATTTCAACCCCTGTGTTAGCTTTCACCATCCTCTTTCTCTTCTGAAAAATGTCTCAGAACATTTCTCTTTGCACTTATTTTATTGCTCTCCATTATCATTACAATTAAGTCTTGCAGTATTTACCTACAGAACCTGTGCAGCATGAAGGGAGATGCTGGCTGGGAACCCACATTTAAGTGACTGTAATTGCTTGAAAAGCAGACTTACCATCAGCATCAGGAGTAAGAGGCTCAGCAGTTAGGGGTTCAAAGTGAATCTCTGAAGATTCTCTTCCTGATGTTAATGTGTCAACTTTGGAAGCTGCCAGTGAGTAGAGATCCATAAAATGTCTATGCATGTGCTTTAAATAAAAGTAGAAGGAATCATTAGCACTAGGCAAGCTACACTTAAATGCCAAATAGCACACATCCAAATTTTTTACAAAAGACAGAACATTTTTTTGAGCAAAGAGATCAAATACAGTTTGTAAGCCAGGTAGAATGTCAGTCCCAGGACTTAAGCATCAAAAACATCTAACAGTGGATTTTGTACTTTTTCTAGAACATTGAATATTGATATCATTGAGGAATAGGGAATGAGTCCACACCCAGGTTAGAAGATGCTTTGATGAGATGTTTTCAAGCATGCAGTACAGCATTGAGCTCTAGATACAATTTTTTCATTTTATTTCAATACAAGACTTAGTGCAGGTTCAATTTCTGTTCACCAAAAGCTACCACACAGTTTCAGGCTCATGTTCACAATTCCAAGATGAGTCAATTTACTAATCCTTCCACTCCACAGCAAAAAAAGTAACTTGGCAGTAACAAAAGAAACATTGCAAACCTACAGACCTCTGAAAACTATCTGATTGCACTATAACTGGAAAAATGTAACTATTTCCATGTATGAAGTGGAAGAATGTCCCAATTTTGTTATATTGATTGGGTTGATGATAAAATTAGCAGAACAAGAAAGTACAGATGATTTGGCAGTTCTGGTAACTTTATATCTATCCCAAGTAATCTCAACTAAGTGTTGAAATTATTGGTCTTCTTTACAATGGTTAATCACATTTTATTTGTTATAATTTTTCCCTTCAGATACTATGACACTGATCTTTTGAATGTAAACATGTGATACAGACAAAAAGCAGCTTAGTACCACAAACAGGGATTTACAAAGATTTTTGTAGTTTTTTTCTTTCCTTGGTTTCACATTGCTGATTTTCAGAATAGATATTAACACAGCTAAAATCAATCAGGTTATTTCATTGTGGTTTCTAGGAAACAGCAGTGGCAAACTAACCCATATCACATCTTTTGTCATCAGAAAGAATCTCCAAAATGTCCTGGTGCTGTGGTGTTCCTAAAGTGATTCCTAACTCTTTACCTCACTCCAGATTGCAGGATTGTCCTTATCACCCTATTGGCATAGAGTAAAACTAAAATCCATTAGGTGACCTCTGTCTATAAAAGGCAAATTTTGTAATAAAACCTCAATAATGAGCTTGGAAAGGAATCAAACAGGAACTAGAGATGAGGAAGAGGAGAGAGAGAGGGAAAAAGGGGAAGAGAGATGGGGAAGGGGAGAAAGAGGAAAGGGGATGGAGAAAAGGAAATTCACAGTGACACAGACTGTGAGCCATTGGTGCTGTTTGTATATGTCCTGAGTTACCAAGTGCACCTGAGGCTGCCAGGTGAACAAGAACTTTACAATTCTGCTCCAGCAGCAAGCTCCCCAGCACGTATTCTACTTTGTTAGTTATACCACAAGCACTTTGTGCAAATATGAAATGCAACTTTTTGTGTTTCTGATTCTCTTCCAGAGAGAAAGAGGGAACAGGCTGCAGATGCTTCTGCAATCATTGTGAGGTCAAAAAGGATGAGAGCTGGGGTGGGATAAAAAGAAAAAAAGACGCAGCACCCACTACCAAATTAGAAAAGCAAGATTTAAAGGCTGGTGATTGCCACAATGCCTCCTATGAAAAGATGCCACCCATGGAACCTTTTGTGCGGCTCTAAAATAGATCATCACTGTACTGGGGAAACATTTGTAATTCCACCCTTTGACAGAAAAGTTCATCTGTGCTAATTAAGCTTCATGGGAATCTCAAAGCATTACATATTACATATCTCCATCTTTTAGTGTGGAAACACAAAAAGGCACATGTAATTTTATATCTTTATCAGGCATGAATGCATGCAAGAGAACAACAGTGAGAATTTTCCTGCTTAGAATCTGCCTTTCTTGAATGTTTGATTTTGTGACCCTGATCATGCAATTATATGCTGCATTAGAACAGAAAATCTACAACAAATTGGAAGGCATTACTGCAGAAACTTAAACACTCTAGGCAATACTTACTTTGCCTAAGATCATTGCAATTTACTTCATTACCTGCTCTCTGTCTAATTCAGACAGAGAAGTACAATTAAAAATATATGTTCTTACTCTGCCTTTTGTTCTCTCATTGGATAAAAAAATCTGTCTTGGCACTTATATATTCTGCACAGCTATAAAGACTAATGGATAGTTTCTGGAGAAGACCTCAAACTTAAAAACAATGAGGAGGCATTGCACTGAATCTATGTTCAGAGCTGAAAATATGGCACATTTTCTGTTAATCTCTCTTTTTTCTCACTCATTGTTTTGTCCTAACAAAATTAGTATTTTGAAGTATGCAAGTTTTTAAACCTACATGAGCAAAATAGCTTCTATATTTAAACATTCTAAAGAGCAGTTTCTTTTAAATGAGGAATGCTCAAAACCCCACAATTGATTCTAGAACTATGGGTTGAAAAACATCTGATACTGACCAAGAAGGAGTATGAAAATCTTGTCTTTTTTGTTTGGTTGGTTTTTTTTGTTTGTGATGATCTTACTTGGTTTTAGTTTTGCTTGTATTTTTTTTTTTTAATTAGTCTTGTATATATTAATGGGAAAAAAGAGAGGGAGATAGAGGGATATTATTTTTCAGGTACATATACTTCTGCCCATGTTTGTATTCCCATCAGTTATTTAATGCTGTAACTGGAAAATTAAAAGTTACCATCATCTATGAAATACCATTTGCAAGAGTACACGTGGAAATTCTTTCAACTGTTGACTGCAACAGTTCTGAAGTTTTTGCTCTCCACATGCTCAGAGCAGTCTATTCTATCTGCCTGTCATGTCTCAGATGCCAAAACTGAAAGAAAATTAAAACATGAAAAAATGAAGCAGGATTGATTTTAGACTCTAACCTGGAATGACACAGCCTCTGGCCTGTCCCTCACTGCTTCCCCTGACAGGATCTCCAGCTGCAGGCTGGGGAGCGGCGTGGCTGCTGCAGCTCCTGATGCCAGGACCTCCTCTCTGGCCTAAAGGGAAAAACCCAGCATCAGTGGTAATTCTCCTTCAGACACACCAGCTGGGATGAACTGGGTCCCCTTGAGCCCCTTGAGTGGATTTGCATTGGTCACTGGACCTAACATCCATGAATAAAATACAGCTGATTGAATTATCATTGCAAATAAATCTCTAATTCACAGTGCTGGGAGAGAATGCTACAAAAAAAAAAAAAAAAAAAAAAAAAAAAAAAAAAAAAAAAAATAAAAAAAAAAAAAAAAAAAATTTAAAAAGCACCTTGCCTTGGTCAGAAAAGAGAAAGGCCAAGGACATGGCACATATGTACTACTGTAAAAACACGGCGGTTGCTGCATGACATTCACTTCCAAAGTTTGAAAGAAGCCAGTTTGAAGATAGTGGTGACACAAAGGAAATTTTCTATCAGCACAGTTTGCTGTAGGTGAAACATGCAGTTTGGGTTCTGTCACTTTCCATGAACATTAAAGGAAAGAGACTTGAAAAAGATATCTGAAAATATAATTAGCAACAGTTTTGGTGAAAGAAGAAACTAAAATAGAGAATGTTGCTAGGAATTAAAGATGTAGTAAGGGAAATCAACACTCCAAGGTAATGAAAACACTTCTTTTGCTCTATTCTTCTCTAGATTTAAAACAGTTATGAAACCATCTGCCATTAGAGCTAGAGTTGGAAACAGTCCTTTCTCCTAAATAATTAATATGTACATCTTTATTGGACCTTCAAATAATCCTATACCAGGGCACAATTGTATGAGTCAGAGGGAAAACTTGAGATTACTATTAAGTTTAAAATATGATTGTAAAAAATACCACAGAAGTTGCTGACCACACATTATGATTTCCTGCCTTTTCTTTTCCTATATATGATATTTCATAGGTTAAAGGAGCATACATAAAGCCAAATGTTTTAATGGCCACCAAGTATTTGACCTCTCATTATTCAACAGAGGATTAACCACAATACTTGTCAATTTTTTGTGCGTTGCATTAGTCTTCACTTGTCAACCAGAAATAATGCTCACTGAGGGAAGGAAAGTGAATTTTGGCATAACTTCTAGATTTAGAACAAGTTGTGTGTGTACTACAAACTTGCATGTTATTTCACTGTGGTTTGTTAAGATGGAAGAAGTTGAGGGGGAAACTTCAACACTAAGGAAAGGAATTTGCTTTGCAAGAACTTCTCTCTTCCCCCAAGAAGAAGCAGTTCTAAGGCTTTGGCATGTTTGGAAACACAAATCAAAAGGAACAGTTCAAATTCTTACCTTATTCAGGGCGGCCTCCACAGCTTTCATATGATTAATGGTCAACTCTTTGTCCCTATTGTAAAAGAAAAAACAAAACAAAACAAAACAAAGCAAAATAATGGAGTAACTTTATGGAACTGAAAATCTACCAATGTAGAAATTAATCTCCTGCTACTTTATGGCTGTCATGTCTTGTAAAATAATTGTTGATAACTCAAACTGTTAGGATTTTCTCTCTTTTTCATATCTCCAATGCAAACCCTAAAAATATTTAATGTACCACTATTTGGTGCATTTCCATATGAAGGATGCTTCTGTTGAGGATAAGCAATTCAAATAGATGCAGTTATAGGCCTATCAATGAACAACTATCATGGCTGGGATACAGAGGTCATAAAAAGTCTCTAGTAGGATGGTATTATATTCTTGTATTGGAAAACACAGACAGATTCTGTTTATTTCATCTGCTTTGATTATACGTTCCAAAAGGAGAAAAAAACCCTATTTGTTGTGGAGAGTTGCTATGATAATAAAGGAAAGGGTAGCTTTCTTTATTGATCTTCAGCTGCCCTATACAGGGAAACAATTCCAGTTTTAAAGTCACTTCACATTAAAATAACCTTTACTGGATATATGTATGGCCACAAGGAATGCTCTTTACTGAAATGCCCAAAAGAGATTGCAGCAGGATGAAAACAGAAAGCTTTTTAGAACAAATCCTTCTGCAGGTGACACCAAATCATTTGGTATGATTTGATAATTCTAATTAGCTTGTTAAACACCTTATTGAGGACTCTACGAATTCCATTATTTCCCTGGTGCATAAAACCCTTAAAGCTTCTCAGACATTGTTCTTCAGAGGTTGAATGATCCCAGGTATAATGAGAAATTTCAATGAACTAAAATTTTTTTAGAACCTAGCCATGAAACAATATTCATAATACATATTTAATGCTTTATAAGTATTAGAAAACAAAATCTGCAAAGATTTATCTTTTCATATGGCAAAAAAATAGCTTAGTAATAACCTGCTTCAAATCAAGGGGGCTCCTTTTGACTACCAATCTTTTCAGGACCAGTGCCTGAGCCTTTCCTTTCACTCTAGGTTGTTGTGTTGTGGTGTGGGGATTAGGGCTAAATCCAAAACTCCCTGAAATCAGCAGGAAGATCTATCTTGTACCACAGGGAAAGTGAGGTCCAAAATGGGTTTCAGTCCCTTTGGTGGCAAAGACCTGTCCCGATGCTTCTGTATTTACTATAAATAAATTGTATCTGTCTACAAAAAGATGGTGTGGAAACACAGAGAACAAGCAGCCATTTCTTAAATAAACAAAACTTTAAGGATCTGCCAAAGAGATGTTGTCAGAGCAGTAAGATAGCACAGGTATTTTGTTTGCCAGTTATTTCAGCACCCAGAATTTGGAGCACTATTATGGGATAACTGCATAAAATGTATGACCAAGTATTTTGAACTAGCACTTTTGTTTTCAGAAGACTATCCCTGAATTTAAAAATAAAAGAGACAGAGGTACTTTTCTCTTCTAACCTTACACTGCCCGTGGAAGTAGGAATTGAAATTTTTACTCATTTTAAGTGACATGCCCCAGGCCCCAAGGGCTCACTTTACTCACAGTTTGAGGGCAGGTTCTGCCTGCTCAAGAGTCTCCCGCAGCCACTGCTGGTCCTGCTCTGTGTCTTTCAGGAATCTCTTCTGGTGATCCAGAACTTGGTCTCTGCTCCTCAGCTCCTCCGTTGAGTTAGAGAAGCTCTGCCAGCAGACAGAGAGCAGAGTTACTCTTTAGCCCAAATCAACTTCACTTTATGCCATTGGCTACAGACCAACGTGGAAGACAAATTGATTGCAAAGTAGATTTGGACCACTGCATACTAAGGTTTTATGAATTTCCTAGCAAAAGCATTACTGACTCAGAACCCTCCTAGTTTTTAGTATATTTGCTATGTATAAATGTGTTTTAGAAAACAAAATTATTGTAGGAAAAAAAACCCAGAACAAACCCCATTTAAGACTTTTTCTTAAATTGTTAAAATTGAAATATAAATAGCTTTAAAATTTTTAAAAACTATGTCTTTGAAGTGTTTTCTCAGTAGCCTAAAATTCCAGAGTGAGCAGTATGTGTGTGTATTTATTCCTGTTACTTTATTTACACAAGGACTGCACTATTTGGCTTATTTAACAAAAGGTAAAATTCTGTTGACTGTTCCAGAAGAATAATCTTACCACCAGAGATACATTGGAGACTTGGCTTCTATCTGTGTCAATAAGTGAGCACGATTCCAGTTTATTACTCAGCTCCTGAAGCCGTCGCTGGTATTCTTGCAAAAGCAATCTTACCTCCTGCTCACGCTGCAAAGCATTTTCTAACTCCTCATGTATATTATCTTGGCTGATTTTCTGGAAAGAGAAACAAGTTGTGCCTGATTCTGTAATTATATTCAGTGGTTTCCCTACCACTGAGTGAGTTCCACTTGCAAATATATCAAATTCTAAAACAAATACATGCTTAGGATTAGTGTTGAAGTTTTTTCAACATGAAGTCAGATCACTGAACAGTAAGACAGCAGGCCAGTTAATCACTGTGTTTTTTATGAAAGAGCGTTCATGTAAAGTCTTGGCACTCATTATTCTATTAAAATTAGTACCCTAGGATGAAAAACCTCAATATTTAGAAGGAAAAATATGCAGATCAATGTTCAAAATTTTAGTGATAACTTATTAACCCTTGCAAACACCTTTGTGGACTGTTCTTCTCCTCCAAAAACTGTTACAGAAAGAAGAAATAATTTTTCAAGGAAAGTTGTTATCTGCATTTCAACTACAATCTCAAATGTGATAATTTTTATCTAACTGTCCCAAAATATTAAGGGAATAAAACCTGTCGAGAACAGTACTGAAGATGATTAGATATTTTTGAGTAAAAAAATAAAAATCCATTTTACTAGCTAGGAACAGGAAGGACAATGGGTGAGACATCTAGCAGATATTCTCTGCTTGGAAGTGTTTGGATTGGGACAAACTACCAGGTGCTACCAACTAGGCTTCAGGTTAGGGGACCCACAGTGTTTCAGTAAGTCAATCATCAACAGTAAAAACTCAGGGGAATTTTCTGCATTTGTGCTACTGAGAATGTAGGAAAAGCCTTTTTTCCTTCTGCCATAAAGTTACTTCTTCAGGGAAACAGACCCACTAAAATTTGTATTGTATTTATTATAACATTCATCAACATCTATACAGAGTTTAAACTACTATCTTTATATTTCATTAATTTCTCATAAACATTCTTACTGAATACCCTCATTCCAGCTGCTTTACTCTGTTGAAGTAAAATCTTCTTTTAGGATACATAAATCATCACATCAACATTTCCAACAAATGGGAGAACCTGAACTGCTGAAGACCAAGCTGCAATTTATACAGGATACCTCTTCTACAAATCAAAAGGAAACTCCAGTGGAAAATGGGGCTTTCTGAATATATCTGTCTTCTAGTTTAGTGATATTTACAAGGCAAGATTTCTGGAAAATTCTGTTGGGAGTAAATAATTTTTATGTTTGTTTTCTAAAAGGACACAAATCAAAAATGTGTAGAAAGGAGAATCTCTTTGAAGCAAGAGAGCCTCCAAATCAAATGCACTTACATGCTGAAGTTCATTTAATTGCTCTTGCAGTCTGTGGGCTTTTTCAGCATCTTTTCGCATCTCATTGAAAGCCCATCTGCATTCTGCCAGCTGCAGGTGCAGGGAGCGGGACTCTACCTCTGCTGCATGAAGCCTTTGTGAAAGTTCAAATATTTCTTGCTGCAAGATTGCTATGTTTCTCTGTCAGCAAACAAAAACAAGTTGATGGGCTATAAAAACTGCTATTTTAGAAATAAAAGAAATCATATTTAAGACCCAAGAAAATCAAGACAAAACTATAATTTTTTCCTCCACTTCTAAAAGACATACTCAAGGGCAAAAGTTTGAACCTGTCACCTACCAACCCTACCAAGGGCTGCTGCAAATTCTGTTTACAAAGAAGTACTATTTACACCTAAAGTCTACAATAAAAGATTATTGGAGAAAGTTTATCCTTTCATTTTGATTAAAGGGAAGAAGGTTATCTTTACTGAAAGAAAGGATGATAAACATGAGAAAGTAGAAAACCATAATAAAAAGCATCCTTAACATTTACATCAAGACAAAAGCAAATTTGTTCTTATAATCTGTTACAGATCTGATAGAAGTTGAAAAAAAAATTTTTTTCTTGGATACACTAAACCTCCTCCAAAAATTCTTTGTCACTAAAATAAAAGATCTAATCACACCCTAATGTGTGACAAATCAACTTCTGAGTGTCCATATAGTGGTATCTCATTGTCCTGGACTCATCACCAGCCTCCAACCAAATAAATGGTGCTATCAAGGGAGCTTCACTGTTGCTGTAAACCTTCTGTTTCCATGAAGGAGGACTGTAATTCTGCTTACTGTGCTGGGCAGTCTGTCATACAATCCAGCTTCCAGGGCCTGGGCATTTACTCTGTGGAGCCCACGAGCCAGCCTCTGTACCAAGGAGTCCCTCTCCAGGTAAGCTCTGCACCCACAAGGTTTCCCCTGAACTGTCTCCATCAGTATGCTCAGGTTGTCCATCAGTTTTGCAAAGCAGTTCCTGGCTGCACTGATAAGTGAGTGTTCAGAAAGCCAGGAGTGCACATCTTTAAGAAACAACAACAAAAAGGAAACATCAAGCAGGTTATTACTTTCCATTTCTTGTAATAGCCTGTTCTTTTTCATTTATACAGGATGGAACCCGTAAATATTCTGAAACACAGAATACTAAATCTGAAACACTATTCAAACTTTGCTTTTAAAGGATATGAATTAAAATTATTGAAAACAGCATGATCAAAGAAGAAAGTGCCTGAAACTGAATATAAGCACATTTGATTCAATGACAACTTTTATACCAATTTAGCATTTAGCCTTCTGGAAAATACATCACCTTGTCTTTCTCCTGCTATTTCCCTTTATTCACATAAATTATCCCTCTTCTAATATCCTTTTTTTGTGACAAAATTGTGGGGATTCTGAAAGTAGAGATTAATAAAGAACAAGGGATTGCAGCAATGCAGATGAACCAAGGGAGGCTTTTTCAGTTCTCACTGTAAATAACTCTAGAAACACTCTCCAGCCTTCTGCTTCTGTGGCTATACACACTGAAAGGATAAAATATCCTATCAGCTGTTAAAGAAAATTAACCTGTTCCAACAGTACAGAGATGTGATCATTAGGAGAATGTAGAAGAGGGTTATCATTTTACCCTGCAATAAAATTGCTTCTTCAGGGAAACAGCCCCACTAAAATTTGAATTGACTAGCTCAGGATATAACCTCACATCAAAGGTGTCTATCATAATATTCAGAAATATCTCTTCAGAGTTATGATCCAGAATAGTTTAGATAAAATCACAAAAATAGAAATTATATGACCACCCTGACTTATTTTTTTGTAATATATTTCTGCTTCAACAATATACTGGTAAAATTACCTTGTTTGCAGAGAACAACCTCCAGTTCAGAGATGGAACTGACTATTGCAGTATAGAGGTTAGAGCTAGTCAACCAGTCAAGTGCTTCAATGCAGTCAACTCCTTCCTCTTCAAAACCTGGCAAACAGAATTCCAGCTAGCAGGATAAGTGAACCACTAAGATATGGCACACTGCTACGTCCAGCTCTTTCAGAAATTAACCAAAAATAAGCATATAAACAACAAAATAGCCAGGACAATTTAGACCATTTTAAGCATGCTGCCAGAATTACTAAAAACCAAAAAAAAAAGCAGATGAATCTTCTAAATTGGAAAACATTTTTTATACCATTTATCCTTGCAGAGGGAAGTATAAACTGGTCTGGCAACAGAAAGGGGCAAGTAGACATAATCTCTAAAGAAAATTTCAAAATCCTATGCTAATATTTTACCTGAATCAGAAAGCAATTTTTGTGGTATTTTGTGGGTTTTATTAGGAAATAAATATTAAAAATTATTAAAAATTGAAGAGGAAATACCTTTTGTAAAAAGAAAAATTTAAAAAATGGTGACAGTTAATAATTTAGGAAAATTGCAAGATATTTACCATAGAGAGGATGCTGTAGCACCTGGTTCTGAAATCCATAACACAAATATCAAAAATATCAGATAGTGTTCAGTTCATGTGCATAATCACAATTTTACCTGCAATGCTTAATATAAGACTAGGCATTTCCTCCTAGAGTGAAATACATTTGTCAAACAAAATAAAAAAGATAGATAATATTTGTCCAAATGTCATTAAATATGTCTCTATGCCCCCGCAATAATAATAATCTTGCTCTTTTTTATTCCCTGACTATGTGATTTGACACAAGAACATTTCACTTACGTGACACGTGCCTGCCTCTGGATTCTCCCACACAAACTTGAATTCCAGTGCATCCTCTGGAGCCATCTGTCCAGACGAAAAAGGTGCAAGAGCATCGGGCCAGAGCCCTCAGCCTGTGAGCGGCCAGAACTGCAATCACGGCTCTTCGGAAGACGTAAACCAGGCGCTTGGCTCTTCTCTGCCCCAGCCTGCCTTTGCCTTGGCTGCTTCCCACGTTAGCAGGGAGAGCACAGAGGAGGCTGATGATCTTCTGGCTCAATACTTCATGGTGCTTCAGCTGTTCCTGGAGAATGTCTCTTTGGCAAGACACAGCGCCCAGTCTGCCGTAGAGAGGACACAGGGCCCCTGACAGCAGTGCACAGGCTGCCAGCAGGGATGGGCGTGCCTTGTGACCATTTGATAATGTATTTGTCATGGAATTGTTCCTGTGGGCCACCTTCTCGTGGATTTGTTCAAGGCCATACAGTTTTTGCCTGGTTTTCTGCACTGTTTCTTCACCTTCCTGTGACAGAAGCAAACCAAACAAAAACGGAAGAAATATTAACTAGATGGTTTTTACCTAGACAAGAGCAAAAAGGAAATTCATATCTCTGCCATTCAAATTATGCACAAAAGGAGTCAAAAATTCTTAGTAATGATGGTGATGAAAGTATCTCTTCTAGTAAACAATTCCAGAATCAGAGATATGAAACCAAAGCAATGGTAGAAGGGAAATTTACATGATCATCAACTGCAAATTTAACTCCTGATTTCTAACAACAATCCACCAATATGGTGACAGCTCACAGAAGGTCCAACACCACTTGTCTGCCCACAATACAGTTCTGTGAGTTGACTTAACAATAGCAATAACATCCTCCAATTTCAGAGAGAGAACTGCTCTACCAAACAGAAAGCCAGTGTAAGTGAGAGGGAAAAGGTAAGGAAGGCTGGAACATGAAATGAGACCGATTAAATTTTTCACCGTGCAAAGACTTCCAGTCCTGAAATCTGCATCAATTACAGCATTGTTCTTTGAAGTTAAGTTGCAGCAACTCACAAATAAGAAGGGACATCTACTTCCTTATTCACAATGCTTTTAATTCAAAGAGGTGTGAAGGAATGTAAATGGTGGTTGTGGAATAGTGGGTAACATTTTGGATTGCAAATAACTCATCTAACAAGCAGTGGCAGTTAAACACTTAAAAACCACTTCTCACTGGAGTATTAGTAAAGCGGAGTCACTTAACACTTGAAATCTACCACTGTTCTTAGGGTCAGTGCACATGTAATTAAATTTACTCACAGGTAACACCACATTATTGTTACTCTATACCATCTCTGCAAATGATGATGCTGAAAAAGTAGCTGCTACCTTCAGGAATTCTTAAAAAAAGGAAATTAGATCTTAGATCTTACAGCTTTAGCACTCTCAGAAAAAAAAATACTATCCACTAGAGATGAAATCAGGCTTTTCAGCTGAGGCTGTAGACCAAATTCTCTTCAACAAATGCTTCAAAAAATTTATTTCTTAAGTGATGTCAATATTATTACAATGATGAGTTGGTTTGTTGTTTGGATTTTTTAACTTTAAAAATAAACGAACATTCCCCAAACTACCTTAAACTGCTTAGGGCCTTAAACTATTGAAAGAATCCATTAAATGCTACAAGAAAAAATATTAGCAGTTCCCAGCAGCATACCTGTGCTCTTGCATGAACCTCTGCAAGCATATTTGAGTACTGCTCTTCAAGATATTGCTTTTCTTTCTGCCAGCAATGTTCCTGTGCTTTTAACTGTTCAGACATTTTCTCAAAAGCATCCTCCTGCTTCTGCTGAAGGTCATTCATATTATCAGTCTTGTGCTTGCAAATATATTCTAGGTGAGATATCTGTGTGACAAGCATTTAAGAAGAAATTATTATTTACCTTTTCACTTTGAGTCAAACACAAACTATTCCAGCATAAAATCTAAACTGTAATTTCTTCAAAATTTTCATTAAAACTAAGTAAAATACTTTCATAGCAGATTAATTACTTGGTTCTCAAAACAAAACTGAAATATATTTCGAAACAAAGTATTTTATTTGGTTTTGGTTCTGCCATCCTTTTACCATCTTGCAGATATTTGTCTCCTTCATTGTAGGAAACCTGAGCCAGACATTTCAAACTTTTTTTTTTAAACAATTGTATTAAATTTTAGTATATTAATAAATTAGTAATCCAAGTACATACTTTAGAAATTTGTGATGATTGCAAACAATTATTAAAAACAGCATTTAATTTTTTGTTTGTCTGGTTTTTTGTTATGTTCTTCTTTTTGTTTGATTATTTTTTTTTTTTTTGGTGTTTTTTTTTTTGTTTTTGTTTTGGTTTTTTTTTGTTTTTGTTTTTGGTTTTTGTTTTTTTGTTGTTGTTGTTGTTGTTGTTGTTAAAAAGCCAAGACATTCCGGGTTATTATTAAGTTTTTAAACAATTTCAGGGAAAATATAATTCACTCTTGTGGTTTAACACTGCACCTCCCATGCAAATTAAATGGAGGAATGAACCAAGCCAACAATGATCCCCAAATGCATACACCTTAACTTTTTTACTAGGGAATATCAGCAAGACACTTCCAGACAGATCACACTGAGTTGTAGGAAAAAAAGCTTTGTACAACACAGTGTAAAATCCCAGAAAAGCTGCTAAGACCATGAGAAGAGTCCTAGAGGCCTCACAACCAGTCTCAGTAACAAGGCTTAATTAAAAAGCATGCACAATAAGACACAAGCCCAACAAACACTGCCAACAATATTCACCCCCTTCTCTTCCCATCTCTTTCCTTCTCCCTTTCTTCTTCGACTTCAAAAGAGAAATAAACCAGAAAACAAAGTGAAACCCTGAAGAGTGGCTTAGCCACTCTTAGCTTAGTCTCTGGAGCCAGCTGACCTATTAAAAATTTTTTTTTTTTCCTAAAAACACAAGATTTTCTGGGAAGAAAGGCCACATAAACTCACTTGCATTAATATCACTCAGAAAAGTACAGCTCATCCTTCACACAAATACTGACATGTTTTAGAAAAGGTATTTCTATTGTGTTTCTGAATAAAAATGTCATAATTCAAAAGTTACAATTAAACAAAAAACCCTACACTGGAATTCTTTCAGATAGTACATCTAAATCATAAACACATAATTTAAAGATGCTGTTCCTGGAGAAAGTGTATTTTGCCTATGTATTATGGTGAAATAAAGACTTGCTTTAAGACTGTAAATGACTACATTCTGTGAATTTCTTCATCAATAAGATGAATTTATTATCTTTTAATTAGGTCCCTGTGGCTACTATCAGATAGTCCTTTCAGAGTGTCCTGCACAGAAGGTGGAGCTGAGAGACTTGATGCACACTCTGGTCACATCTAAACGCTCACAGCAGCAGCATCAAACTGAGCAGTGGACCAGCCATAATTAAAGGTGTTCATTTGTTAATGTCCAAATCCTCTTGGGGGGATGACTATCACTCCTTTTTAACGAGACTGCAGCGTGCACAAATGTCATGGAGCTCAGCAGAGGCAGCTGATGCCTGGGGACACTCACCCTCTCCTTAGCCTTGTGGAAGTTCAAGATCAGGGCTTCAACATTCTCACACAAGAGTGCACAAAGCTCTGTCCACGGTAACTCTTCCAGGGGGATGTCTGAATATTTGGAAAGCACATGGGCGTTTGCCATGCTCTGGTATAAGTTTTGCAGGATGGACAGCTCCCTCTGGAACACGAAGAAAACTTAATTGCTGTAGCTGGGCAATGTTAAAATCAAAAGAGAGGCATCATATGTGCAGTAGCAGTGCTGCATGCAGCTGAAAACAAACCCTCAAAGTTGATTCTCACAGCTTTACAAAATTCCTCAGTTAATTTCTTATAATTGCAGCCATAATAGTGCACAATCTTACAGCAGAGTAAGGAAACAAATTTCACAAAATTTATCTAATTACCCACAGTATGTCTATAAAGTATGTGTATAAATTCCATTCCTGTTGGGGCCACAATAGTGACCTGGCACAGATAAAAATTTCCGTGCTCTTAGTGGCTGCAATTCATTCTCCCATGTTAATACTTTGAGGTGCATTCAAACTGTGCCCCCACACAACTGCACAGCACATGGAAAACAGTCCAGTTGGCTTGGCAGCACAACACACTCTAAATTCATTTAAAAATTTGTTTTGCATGGGTTATATAAAATTAAATCAATGGCCAAAATAGGCTTACGGCTCCATCAGTCAAACTCCAAAAGCATGCCTCATTTTTTACAGTGATTTGAATCAGTGGTATAATAAATTGATTCAGGTTAGAAATAAATTTTAGCAACAACAGCATGCAGTAGAAATTCAATTCTTCATACTTGTAATACATGCAAGTGACTTAGAAACTTTGATTAGGCTAATAGAAAGCTGTTTCTCAAATGCCATGACACAAAGTATGTAAACCACTGTATCAGTACAGTCAGAGCTCAAGAAAAGATTCTCAGACTAGAGTGGAAAAAACATATTCAGGGAGCAAAAAAGCAGTATAAAATATGAAAAAATACTGTATAGGTCAGGAAAGCAGGAAGGGAAAATGAAGGGAAGAGAACACACTGACATTGTCACACAGTTTTGGCATGGGTATAGCGAAGACAAACAGCAATATATTAAATGTTATCCATACTTAGTTTCTGCTACAGACTTCCACTTTTTCATTTTGGGAAACAAAATCAAAGCTGTCTTAATGAAGTAAATAGGATCACATACAGTCACTTCTGCTTCCCAAACAAATCCAAACAGCTTTGGGAAAAATACAAAGCCAACCAAGGCAATAAATATTTAATCCCATAAGGGAACCACTAATACAACTCTTCCAAAAATGTGTATTTTTATCATCTGCTCAGGACAGTCCTGTGGTTTGAAATCTTTTGAATAAAACAATTAAAATAACCGGCTCTATAAATATGACAGTGAGACAATCCTTTTCTTTTTAACCTTTCAGTAACATAACATTAATTTTGAGTACACCATAATACACTGTTTCCATTACCAGAAATCTTGATCATTAACGAAATCTTGTACTGAATTCTGGTCATGTATAACATATATTTTACTGAGGAATACAGATAAAAAGGAAAACCCTTAATACAGCAACAGCTAGCGAGCACTTAAGGTTTCTAGTAGAACATTTTCAGTTTCTAGTTGTGTTTCATAGTTATAAATAGCAATCATCAATGCCTGTAGTTAGGCCAGACAGTTGCTTTTCTCTCTATGCATTCCTTTTGTGCTTGATGAAATTACTTTTTCAGGCTAACTAGTCCAGCAAATGTCATTTAATACATTAATACTTGCATGGAAGAAGCTGTTCTTCCAGAGAGAAAGGAAAAAGAAGGTTCTGGTTTTATTTTTCTTCAGTTTATGAATTACAGATCTGCCTGCACAGTGGACAACACTAAGACAACGTGTAGAACAACTCCATCCACTGAACAAAAGACACCCACAAATCTGAAGACTCTCTTATACAAGTCTCTGCTCCTGTCAACAGGGAACAGACCTCATGTACCTTTCATGCTCCAAGTTCTGAGAGAGGAAGAGGAGAAGTTTCCAAGCCACCACCACCAAAAGTTAATATTGCTAAGAGTAGAAACAGAGCAAATGTTACCACACAATGAAAGGAGAGATTTTCTAGACATGCTGAGAACTTTCCTTCATCCCTGCTGCTGTGTGAAAAGATGGCACAATTGTTATTCAAGGTGTAGCTGGATAAAGAGAGTAGAAAGGCCCAAAGTGGTCATATAAAAGGAGAAAGTTTTCAGAAAATAATCCAGTAATATACATCCAATGTGCCAAATCCACAGCAAAACAAACAAAAAACAAAGCAACAACAAAAATCCCCTCTGCTTTTCCACCTGAAAGTTTGAAACAATTTTTAAGCAATTTTTACAGTCAAATACTTGCACTAAAACTAAAATGGTGTATGAAGTAGAAGAAAACATTTCTACAATGGTAGCTAATAAAACGTGACAAAAAATTTGGGTAGAAAGGCAGAACATTCTTCACATGAAATCGTAAACATATCTACAAAATGCCTTCTTAATTAGGAACTCCAGTACATCATACCCAGACTTAACAAATTATCTTCTCAAAGGCCCTGGTTATATTTATTCATGTATTAAATTCCTAAAAAGGTAGCATAATAACAAACAGGGTAAGAGAATGGCAGAGTTCTTCCACAGCTCAGCACAAATGCAGCAAATCCTCAGCACAGTAAATATTTTGACAGTATGTTTAAAAACCTAAACAATGTGTGCCACAGGTTTTTTCCTTACTATTGAGCCTTCGTCCTGGGTGAAGCTGGCTGTAGCATCCACTAATGTCCCAAAGGATTCTTCAGTTTCCTTCCTTTCCTCAGCCTTGTCTCTCCATTGCACATTTAAGGATGAATGCTGTCTCTGTGAACTGGAAAGTTTCCGCAATAAGATACTTTAACCAAAATTGCTTTTGTCAAATGCAGTATGTTCTTTATGGCAGATACCACATTAGCACATCACATGGCTTCTGAAGCTGCTTGCCTTTCTTAATTGAAGGAAGAAATTTATATTCCTTCTAAGAAAGACTTTTCAAGTGGTTATGTTTTCAGTTACCAAGCCTTGTATCACACAATTCAATAGATTCACATTTGGATATGGCCTCAAAATTACACATAACAAACAGAATTCTTCATATTTAAATTGACACAACAGCTCTCATGGTCTCTCTCTCAGAGAGACTACATCACATCTTGCATCATCAACCCTGATTGAATGTACAGTTCTCGCTCCTAAGATTTCCTCATGCCCGACTCTACTCTGGCGTGACTTTTAAAGCAGACTACCCAGAATGTTAATCTGTTCTTTTACTGTATCAGTCAGGAAAACAAGACCCTGGCATGACCAAACAGGCAGCTGATGAGGAAACTACAAGGCCAAAAAACAGTGCAGAGAAGACAGAATCAGGGACAGGAATCTAACGAAGAATTTAAAAAGATTGCCTGAGTATTTAGGCACGGTGTCAGAAAAGCCAAAAAGCTTGCTTAAAATTTATGTTTGCAAAGGCTTTTCCAGCTCAAGTTTTAAGTATCTTACTAAAAAACGTCTCCATAGCCATGAATCTTGAATGAATTGCGCAGGAAACTTGCTTTTTTGTAGGAAACCACTTTCTTTCATTCTCCACTACTCCTTGCGTGAGTAAGTCAACACAAACACCTGTGTATACAGACCCATACAGTTCTAGGCGGACAGAGGGGTCACCCAAGCTCTGTTACCACAGACACAGCAGACTGTGATGGACAGGAAACATCCCAAGAGATTTCCTCTGCTCTCACACATTTCAGTATTTTTTAACCATTTAAAGCTTTCTACAGGCTTTCAAAAGTTGAAAACAAAGATTATCCACTATAAATGATACACAACTTCTTGACAGGAATCTTGGAGATTCAAGAGAGTCACCAAAGTGGAGAATAATGTCTTCAATAAGAATATATCTAGAATGTAGTTAGAATGTAGATAGAAAAGCTATCTTTTCTAGACCTGCTGGCTATGTTTTCCTACACTCACCCCAAGCACAACTGGAGGCTAGAGCCTACCATAACTACGATTTTCAGAAGTTTTGGTTTGGCAAATAGTCTGTAACAGGCCAGTTATTATCTCTACCCATTTACTATACATTTGGTTATTGATATGGGCCTGTTATTAATGGACTGCCAGGTTCTGAACCTTTCATTTGGTTTGGCACATTGTGCTGGATTTTCTGCTGACTGAAAATTGCAGGGCATGTAAACTACGAGTTATACTCAAGTTGTCTGCTGCCATTATGCAACACCTTTAAAAGGGAACTTACACTTTTTTTCCTCTCTCATGTGCGTTTTCTGACTCTCTGAAATCTTTCTTTGCTATCCGTGAAAAAACTTCTCTCATGCCTTGATGCTCTTCACTTAAAGCATCTTCAAGTTCTTGAATTCTCAACTACCAAGTGATAGGAAAGCAATTAAAAGAAGTTAGGAAAGACTAGCATGGTCTTTAGTGCTGTTCACTGTTCTGTTCTGCTTTTCACAGGTGAATATAGTCTATTAATTCTATTTGGAATTAGAAAGCATTGAACACGTAAAAATGTATTGATACAGAGAGTTCAAAACAGGCTGGTTGTTTTGGATTTTTGTTTGTTTTTTTCTTGTTTTGTATTGGTTTTTATTTGTTTTGTTTTGGGTTTTTTGTTTGTTTGGTTTTTTTAACCGTGTGTAAACCACGCAATCTCCCAAGTATTTTGAGGAAAAAAACATGAAGGGATGAGGTCTCCTGTCTAACCAGGAGCTGATGCTATTGCCCTTCCCATGGAGCTCCAGCCCCTCCTATTCCAGGCCAGGATACTCCCAACAGAGCTCATCGTGGATCTGTCACAAAGCAGAGAGTAACTTTTCCTGCGTGTCCCAGAGACACATTTCAATACTCTGTGACTCCACTCCCACGCCTACCAGTTGTGAAGTGCAGTTTTTCCAGCCAGGATTTGCTGACATGCTCAGAATCCCACTTCTCTGCATGTATGAAGACCACAATTAAATCTCCTTAGCTTTCCTTTTATAGCTCAGAATAACTAAAGGAGATTTCAACCGGGCCTGTACATACACAACACAAAAGACTGCAACTCATTCAAAGTCATAATTTATAAACCCACATATTTCTGATGTTTATCTGACAAGTTTAAATGAATTAAGCTTTCAATGCAGTCAAGTCCAGATGTAAGATTTTTTTTATTTCCCAGAATTTTATAACTATACATGACATAACTGTAGGGTGATGGGCAGAGGAACAGCTACAAAAGCAAAGGGGAAAAACTGAACATTTTTACTGCTGAAGGCAGGTTAGGGTCTGGCTCCTATTAGTGAATCACATTTTCTTTTCAGAGAGTTTTGAAAGTCCTGAAAGTCTTCTGAGTTCAGAGACGTCAAGACTCTGAATGTCTACAGCTCACGCTGACCTGTTTAACGAGCTAGATATATTTGTGGCAATCTTAGTCTACTCATGTTAATTACATTTCCTACAATTTCGTAGCTTAACTACATCTACCAAGAAAGCCCCTTCCTCTCACAACCACTGGCAGAGAAGACTGCCAGGGAGCTGATGGAGAACAAAGTGCCCTGAGCATACACTGCTCATTTTGTCCTTTTTCAAGGACAAACATCATTTGACAGAGCACAGCATACTTTTTCAACATTGATCTTTTGCTGCAGCACTCAACTCTCTGAAGGCAGCTTCTAAAAAGCACTGTACACAACAGAAGGCAATACCCTTCCAGAGCCTCCTCAAACCAACTCAGCCACCTACTGCTAGCCAGAACTCAGAGCTTACCCTGCTGCACCTGGCAACTTAAAAAAGAAAACTCCATCTAAAAGTAGGATTCTTCACAGCTTGTACCCTGCCCTACCTTTATAGGAATCAGCTTTGAATAAAAGCTGACCTGTGATTCTGCTTGTTTTGAGAAGGAGCTTCGGTCCTGTCCACAAGCTCCTCTGTTTCTCGCTAGCGCTGTGCACTGATAACTTGGGTTGGTTTACCATAACCAACAGCCACAACACATTCCATCAAAGCCCAGACCAGCGTTACACACTAAGTGTAGCTTCATAAGGCTGTAACCTTCAGAACTATTCTGCAGTATTCAGCTATTTGGGGATTTTTTTTCCCCCTTAAACCGGAAAAACTCCAACCCACCACACACTTTGCACCAAAACATTTTCAGCCAGCATCTCATGGAACTTTCCATCTATTAATATATCGCACCTGACAAGCCTTTTCTGCTTCAGTTTTTTCTTTGAAAAGGAATTCCAGTTCAGCAAGGTGTACTCTGTGGATGTTATCTCTCTCCACTGCCAATCTTTGTTGCTCCTCTTCCCACTGCCTCTGAGCACTTTGAACCATTTTCTCAGCCTCTGCTGCTTTCTGTTGGTATTTGTCATTGAGTACTGATGTTTACAAAAAAAAAAAAAAAAAAAAAAAAAAAAGAAAGAAAGAAAGAGAAAACGAAAAATAGCACTGCAGACAAGCATGTTCAGAAAAAAAAGGTATAATGGAGCTAAGTTTGTCTGTGTATTGTGATATCCTGTGACACACTGGAACATTAACACTTTCAGTTTCACTACAGAGCAACAACCACATTTTGTGTTCCTGTAGCATCTTTCACATAAGGACATGGAAATCCTTTGGAGATTTCTACAAATTAAAGCTTTTCTCCCTTTGGAAAGGAATAAAAATTCTACCCTTTCAAGAGAGGCCTCTATAGCACGGGGAACTTAATTGCATTTTTTCTGCAACACTTGGCTAGCTTATTTCCAAAAATCTATGTGAAACTTTAGTCTGTACCAATTAATTTCAAGCTCAGTTTAAGTAACAGTAAAGACAGATAGCTGCCACACGAAAAAGTCTCTAGGAAAAGCTAAGGCAGGTTGGGCTAATGAGCAAAGGCTTGGCTTTTCTGGGGAAATTTACTGCTACTCAAGAGATTTAAATCCTCAGCGTAGCAACTGCCCCAAGACAGGAAAATACTGGATCTACTTCTCTGTGAAAGCTTCAATGCCAAGGAAAAGTTCTTTTCCTAAAAGCAGTTTTACTAGGAACTTTGCTTCATTTCACAATCTCAGTCAAAATATTTTGTATTAGCTTTTTATGTCACTGAGTACAACTAGCTATGTTGGCATTTATGTGATCACCACTTTCTAATAGATTTTTATTTCAAACTCATCCCATTCTCCTGAAATTTCTTCCTAGCTGGAGAAGGGTGAAACAAGCAGAAGACAAATGGTGGGAAAACACAGAGAATTAGTGGACACAATGATGGGGAACACCTGTCAGATGTCAGGAAGTCAAGCCTCAAGAAGAAGAGCAGAAAAACAGTTTGGAGAAAATACTAAAGACAGGGCACAAGTCAGGTGCTCTGTCCAAGAATTTAAGTTAAGACTATATGAAAAACAACACACGAGGTGAGCAAGGCTCCAAGAGACAAGGAAGAAGAAGCATAACTTAAAAACTGAAAAATAAATGAGAAGCAACACCACTATTTGGCTTCCTTGACATTTGTCATGATAAAAAAAAAAAAAAAAACAGAGGAAAAAACCCAACAAAGAACAAAACAAAAACTCCAACCAAACAAAAAAACGTTTGAGAAATTTAAACTAACCAAGATTTTTTAATTTGTGTGTTCTCCAGATGAATGAAAACACAGATTTCTTATTATCTTTAAAAACTTGGGCAGTATAAGTGCACTTGCAAGTTTCAGAGTCTCCTTCCATCCTTGCGAAGTTACAAACTCCAGGAGTACTCCAGTCTTTTCAGTGAACACCAAAGGTTCACAAATACTGTACTAAATTTAAGGAGTACTATACTTACTTAGGTAACAAACAAATGCATCTCCCCAGTTTTAAGTGTGAGAAATATCTCTCTGTTTGAGAAAGAACAAGAAAATTTGAGTTTCTGAATGCAAAACTAATAGGGGGAAAAATATGTACGTAAAACCCCTCCTTTCCACATACTACTGTCATAACACATTACTTGTATAAAAACAAAACCAAAGATGACATGAAGAGGCCAGATATGAGCAATGAAAAGCTAGAAATATCTGAAAACGTGAAAGAGAAAAGCAGCAGAATGAGAACTCCTGGGGGGGAAGGAAAAAGTTTGTGGAAAGAGTGTAAACATACAAAAAGGATTAGATTTTTTTTCCCCCTGAAATATAGAAGGAAGAACTGCTGGCATAGTGGTAAGCAGGAAGTGGAGAGGGACACCTTAATTACAATTCTGCACATACGGAGGAAAGGAATAACAGAAGGTAAGGAGCAAGAGGAAAAAGAAGGGATTGATAGGTTTAGCAGGTTATATTTAATTCATATGAGACAGCAAAGTGCTTTGTAAACTCTTATGAGCTTACAGAAGCCAATGTGTAAGACATGGGAAAATAAGCAATTTTTTAAAAAGGCTGTAACTGTAAAAACTTGTGAAATCACTGCTTGTTTTCATGACTTGGGACTGATGTAGCCTCTGGTCTACTTTTTTTTTTTTTTTTAATTACCTTGAAGTTTCAAAACTTTATTTTTTACATCCCACAGCTCATCCTCTGCAAAAGACATCTGTATATAAGCCTCTTGTCTAGCAAATAACATTTCACTCTCCAGATGCTGATGAAGAGCTTCTCCTCTCTCAAGTTCCAACCTTAATTTCATTATTTCTTTTTCATAGTGAGACAACTAGAAAATAAATATTTCAGAAATTGCATTCACATCTTATTCCATCTGAATTTGAAATACAGTCTTGAAACTGCACATTGTAGATACATTTATTTTTTTTATGCAAACTGGACCTGTTCCTAGATCACTTTAATGCACCTTAAACATACCTCCCTGTTTTTCCAAACATACTCAGCCTTAAGAAAATAAACACTACGATTATACTCCACAGACAATTTTCTGGTAACTGCATTTAATGCCTAGAGAAGCAATTGTGTTGGGATACTAGATTATCAGACACCCAGTAACTCACTATGTACACACAACTTCAGTTCAATGATGTTCAGCAGTCATAATAGCAGTTAATAGCAGAATGCTATTAAACACAACAAAGAGAACAAAGAAAAGGCTTCAAAATGGCTCTTATCTGGTGTCAGAAAGATAGTTCAGTCACTGCTGCCAAAAACTGGACCCAGGAAACCACGTTCAAGCCATTTGAATGCAAGAAGGTGGAAAGTAAAAAATGCACTTCAGAATCTCTACAAAGCAGCAGCGTCCTTATTAAAAGGAGCTCCATTCATGGGAAATAACTGAACCCCATTGCAAAGGTTTTCCCTGATGTTCTTGTGGCAAACTAGTACCTAAATGAAGTGGCACGGAAAAAAATACTTCATTAAAATTTTCTTTAGTTTGAATTTTATTACTGCTCTAAGTAACAATTCTGCTCTTAGGAGTTTGTTAGGGGCAACTGATGTGGGTGCTTATTCATCTGTTTTCTACTAAATACAGCCAATAAACCAGTTTGTTGTTCCCTATCCTTTTATTTAGAGATTAGACAGTGACTTGCTCTTGTCGTGCTTCCACTGCTCCATCAGTGGTGGGGTTATTCTGTAAAATGGATCCCTGGAATTACTGGGACTAAAAACACATCTTGCATTGAGAATTCCAAAACTGGGGGCACAAAATGTTCTTCTGCATGACTTTGCTGTTGTGTACTGCTCCAGTTTCTGACACACACCTTCAACTATTAGCAATGACACTAAAAGTGATATCAGCTCCTGTGGGTAGGCATGAGATGTCTGTACAGTGCTATTTTGGTATTTTCAACTACTGAATGTGATTTTGAGTCACTTGATGAGAGCATTATTTTAAAGAAACAAATTGCACTTAAAGAAAAAATTATATTTATTCCAACGGTAAAATAAAGCAAGCAAACAAACAAACAAATCCTTACCTCTTGATTGTGTTGATTGTGTAATTCCAATTTTCTTTTCTCCAGCCTATGGAGTTTTCTTCTCAGATCTTCAACAGTGTCCATTTCTATTTGATTTCTATCCTGAGGCAACGGGAACTCTTCTATATTACTATCTGAGCTGAAAAATGTGTTTTGAAAAAAGCTTGAGCATTCATTTGAAGTTGTAATGCTTCTTTACTTCAATTACCCAGTCATGGGTCCAGAGTTTTAAGCCTTCACATAAGTAAAATTATTTTGTGCAGTTTTCACTTTAATATTGCTCTTTACAGAAAGGATTATATAGAATTGCTTATTTTGCAAGATATGAGAGATGTGGCAGCAGGAACTTAAAAGAGAGATTCACTTTGGATTAACAAAGTTGATTTAAGCATAACACATTCATTATTATTGTTCAGTATCTTTGTTTCCGATAATGAACTTCCATCAGTTTTGATGATTAACAAAATTGATTTAAGCATAACACATTCATTATTATTGTTCAGTATCTTTGTTTCCGATAATGAACTTCCATCAGTTTTGATAATTAACTTCCAGAAGGATTAAAAACATAATTCCAAATATGCAAGTTAAAACAACTGGCAAGCTTTTTTTCTCCACAATAAATCTCATTTTTAACATTAGTTACTGTCTCAAAACCATGTCTGTCATGAAACAAAAGCACAGATGTGGGGGAAAAAGCCTCTCTTTTACACACTTTGTCTTCAGAGATACATACATTGAAACCATAGACATGCAACTGATCACAAACACAACACAAATTGAAGGTTTAGTCCTCCATAATTTCCACTCCTCTTGCAGTTAAAATCTACTTGGTAATTAGCTGAATCAGCCCTCAAGCACCACAAACAATAACAAAAGAGTAAAAATAAATTTTATATATATAAAGTGAAAAATTTATACAAAGAATATATAAATTTATATAGATACACTCACACATAAATATGTATATATACATATACATACAAATAGGTATATTTTTAAAAGTATGTATTAACCAGTTAAGTAATTTTAAGTGCAATTATTATAACTTCAAACTGGAAAACTTTTAAGTTATTTCAGTTCTTGAAAATCAGTGTTCACATTATTTGTTATGTTTCTTTTCACATTATTTTAGGTATGCAAGACTGCAATAATTATTTTCTCTAGATAAAAGTGCAAGAGCTTATGGGCAATAAATGTGAAATACACTGATAAAAGAAAAACGACCAAATTAAGCACTAACCTGGTATCCTATAATACAGAAATAGAAATACTAAAATACTATAACTTTGTCTATATGGAGTATTTTTTACGGAAATAACACTTTAATGACATTTAATTAATAGCTCTTTTTAAATAAAAAGTGACCACTTTACCCTAGATTTGTGTATAGGTACAATTAGCATTTTTCATGACCAAAAATTTACCCAATGATATTTTTTTTTTTTTTTTTTTTGATTGGCCAAAGAGACACAAATATCATCACCAAGGAGATCGGTGATCGGTAACTTAGATTAAATCTTGTCTTTGAAGACATTACTACTATTAAGGAATGAAGTTTCAATTTTTAAGCTGCAGACCATAAATATTTTATAATTGAATAAATACTAAGTGTATTCCCATTTAAAAAGGAGACAGACTTCAGCTGTCAGATCAGAACAGCTATATGTGATCAGAAATTGTTCCACAAGGTGCCGTGTTCCTAACATATTTTATGTATTTAATAAATGTAGAAGATAATAATCTTTGAAACCTGTATGCATGGCAAGAAAATCACAAGCTCATTATTGGTTTTCAGTACTTACTACCAGAGCCATACTCAGAGCAAGCAACATGACTCAAAGAGCAAGAGACGAGAAACAATTAAAATCACTTTTTAAAATGCAATTCAGCTACTGCAAGAAGAAGAACCTAAGCAGCCAGAGCATCTGTAAGCTGAATAAAATATTGTTTGTGGACATCATGTAATAGTGTTGAGTGACCCTTTTTTCTCTCTTTCTGGGGAAAACACAGAAGAAATAAGGGCAAGTAATTTTATTTGGAGATGATAAATGAAGTATCAATCTCAGCTGAAAATAGATAAAAGCCAGACAGCACCAAGGGGGAAAAATAAAACCCAAAGTGAAAACTGGGGAAGACTTGGCCCAAGAAACAAGGGTTATGGAAAGGGACCATTTATTTGGTCTGTAGGCAGCGGGGAAGTCATTTGCCTTCTTTAAACTTGGTGAGATTCAGCATTACTTTCATGGAGACCACACAGAATGAAAGCAAGAGAATAACCACTTTTTGTAAAAAACCTTTAAGGCTTTATTTAAATTACATTGGTTTTCATGGCAGTCAGAATTAAAGAAATCTGTTTCTTTCAGCTGTCCTATGAAATACCCACCAACAAAAAATCATAATGGAAAGACACATTAAAACTTACTCATACGATAAATTAACTATGCAATTAACTATTCTGCTTAACTGAATCTGTGGGGGGCTGTGGGGAAGAATAAAAAAAACCAAAACCATACCATGCACAAATTATATGACACCACAATTAGCAAATTAAGGATGCTATGGAAATGAAAAATGTGTATTAGAGTGTTAAAACAGTGAACATAATACTAAGTACTGGCAAAAAAAAGCATTAGACACCTTTTGAAGTGGCATATGCACAGCTTCTGGAGTCACAATGCAATTGATGGAAACTTAAAAATATATATCAGAAAGCCCTATTTTTTTTTCTTAGTATAGAACTAAAAAAAACCCCAAACCAACAGAGACAAACAAATTAATGAAAAAAACCCCAGCCAACCTGTGTCAGAAATGTTGAATGATTACTTATGTCACCCCCTTCATTTTGTTTGTCTATTTACACATTTTCAAATAACACAGAAACTAGCCTGAAGAAATTTTGCTTCTGTGATACTTTATTTAACTGTCACAGCATGGCCAGCAAATGCAGGACTTTATGAAAACTTCCTACTACCACTTCTAGGAGATTTTTCCTTCCACCTTCATATATCAGCTAGAAGTGCTACAACCATAAGACTCTCAGAAGATTCAAAGACAAAACCACACAAACTCCCTGGAATGTTTCAAAGTATGCACAATTTGCAGTCTAACAAAATTAAGAAAATGGTTTTTACATCCATTTTCATATCTTAGTAGTTCATCAACCCTTGGTTTTGAGCTAAAATATGTGTTTCACCAACTACAGCTTTTAATAAGACACCATTTTTATTAAGACACCATTTTTAGCAGGAATTTAAGAGTCTTCAATAAAGCATGTGAGCAGGTGAAATAGCTCTTGAGTTTTACATTGCAAGAAGGTATTTTGCAGCTCAAAACCTAAATTTTCAGTCTTCACAAGTCTGTTGGTTACAGTCAGCACTGACCATTGCAGAAAAGCAGATTTTCACTAGCTTCAATTCCACAGCTGGCAAAAAATGCAGAGTAATTTTGCAATTGAGAGAAATGTTCTTTTACTTACTACCTAGCAGTGTAATTTTGCTAAACTTCTGCAGTTCAGGGAGCAGACTGCAGTCTGATATTCTCACCAAAGTCTGTATTTGTGGAATTCTGCGGTTCCCATATAACTGGCAGTTTTGTACAGATTGAGAGAGAAATAGTTTGTGCACCGAAGAGCAAACTCTTATCAAGTTATAAAACACAGGGGTTGTGGCAAGACTAACAGCCAATCTCTACCACTTCAATTAATGTGGAAAACCCTCCTGTGCCTCCTGGGCAGTGTTCCTGCACGCTTGGCAGAAACCACCTCTACCTCCTGATGACTCTATGGCAGATTGCATGTATCACACCATATCTGCTTCCTCCTCAGCCCTAACTGCTTCATTTCAGGCATCTGGAAAATAAATGAGCCACAAAAGCAGGAATTAAACTGCTACACTTAAAAATCCAGAACTGGACCTCACTGATCAGTTTCCCTGGAAGTGATGTTGTCTGCAGGTGGTGAACGCATGGTGTCCAAACTGCAGTTTTTTAAGTCTATAAACTGTGGAGAATTAAGAACATAGTTAGCCATACATCCTTGCACTAGATAAGCTTCAAAGATTAGCCTCTTCTAGATCATAAAACCATCAAGACCACTAGCAGAGACATGCTTTACTTTATTTGTAAACCCACTAAAATACTGATTTTTTTTAACCACTCATACTATCATGTCACGTGAACAATTACCACAATTGCAATCTGACACCAGCTTCAGAAAACAGAATTGTACTGCTAGTCCTCTAAGCCTGAATATTGTAGAGAAATAAATAAATATATATATAGCAGAATATCCACAGTCAGTTTTCAGAACACCAATTAAAAAATGTTATGTTTGCGTAGATGGAGTTACAATCTCCTAAGAAGATTACAAACTCTGCTTCTCTTCCAAACAATTCTAATGGAGATAAACAAAGGCACTATAATTTTTGAAGTAGATCAAATATCCAAGGTTACCTGCCTAACAAAACACTTGCTATGTTAAAGACTGCTAGGTCTTTCACAAATTGCACAGAATTTTTGCATTAAGATGTAGCCCCGAGAACTAAGAAATTAGTTTTTCATAACATCATTATTTTTATTATTGCAACTTACACCTAAATCTCATAATGCTTAAAAAATTGTAGTTTCATAATGCTTATCAAGAGTTAAGATCAAAACAATCAAGAAACAAATCAATCAAACACAATCTAAACATCAAAATGTTTTCTGTCACATCCACATCATTCTGAAGTTTTAAAACTTCTTTAAATTACTCTCAAGTCGCATAGCGGAAAAGAAAAAACTAATTCTGAAGAGTGTCACCTGAGAATGCTAAAGATTTTAAACATGCACTATTCCTCTGTTAAAATACCTATCAATAGCTTACTAGCACACAAAGGGATAAATTCAAAAAGCATGGTATTTCACTTAGGGGGAAAAAAAATCCAGTGCCATGGAGCAGCTTGTGGGAGCTCCAGAAGTAAACGAAACAGAAGAGGAAGTTTTTGCTTGGGGAATTATGTTTGATGTGCCATTAAAAGCTTGTGTCAGTTTCTTCTTGCAAACTTCCGAATACATGCCGAACACTTCAGAACAGGCCACTGATTTAGATATGAGGAAGAAATTCACCACAGTGAGGATGGTGAGACCCTGGCACAGGATGCCCAGAGAAGCTGTGGTTGCCCCGTCCCTGGGAGTGTCCAAGATCAGGCTGGACAGGGTTTGGAGCAGCAACCTGGGACAGTGGAAGGTGTCCCCGCCCATGGCAAGAGGTGGAACAAGACGTCATTTGAGGGTCCCAAGACATTTGAAGGTGATAGAGACCACTCAAGAATAAATCTAACCGTGATCTTAAGGGGCACTAACTTAAACCAGGCAAAGCCCGGAGCGAGTATAAATCCGCAGTGAAGCTGCAAAAACTCACCGGGAAGTCTGCAGCGGATTTCTGGAGCTGTCCCGACGATGCTCGTCCTCCAGCATGACGAGGTGGCACCGCCGCAGGAGCTGCAGCGCTGGGAGCGGCCGGGAGCCCAGCCGGGAATTCCGCGGCTGCCAGGGATGCGCGCGGCGATGTCACAGCTCCCGAACCGAGCGCGGCGCTCCGCCGGGGCTCCGCCGCTCTCTCCGGCTTCCGAGACATCTCGAAAGGCTCAAGGGCTCCCGACGGCAAAATACAACTGCAGGAAATTAAAGACCGACTGACAGCAGAGCCAGGCTGAGACGCGCGTGTCCTCAGGGCAGCGCCCAGGCTGCGGAGAGGAACAAACAGCCAGAAAGTTTTGGATGTCTGTGGGCAGAATTCAAAGCAGGGACCACAGCAGCGCATCTGCGTCCACGAGGAGGGAGTTAGGGCTAGGAAAAGGTTCTCGTGAAACCTCTCAAGCCGAGGGATTTCGAGCCCCAAGTGTAAGCATTTGTGTCAAACAACAACTGAATAAAACCCACCTACAGTACCCTGGGAAAGCTCTCTCCTTCTCAAGCGCTGCTGTGCTTTCTGTGGCTCCGTTGTTAAAGTTATTGTTAAATTCTCTCTCTCACTTAGCATGCAGATGATTTAACTCTTTGCTGGCACCACCACGGTCTCCTGAGCTTCTTTCAGGTTTTGTCTTGAAGCACACATCCATCAGGATACCTGGGATATATCATTCAAGACTGGAGGTTTTAATTGCCAGAGAAAAAAACTCCACAACATTCCACACTCTCTGGGATAAGTCTCAAATTTTCATTTCTCCTTTGTGACCTGATCTCTGTAAATGGCTTTCAGCTGCGGTTTTGTTAATTCTGTATCATGTAGTTATTAAATATATTGAGCCAAACAAAATAAGGGGGGATGGAGGGTGTGTTGTGTGTTGCTTCATTTCTTCATTATTATTTCCAAGAGATTTTAGTGCACAAGATTGTGCTTGTAAAACAAATAAAATAAAGTAGACAGTAAGACAACAAATTAACTCCACGGAGAAATCAGTGTCACAGAAAAATTAAGTTTAAATTTGGATATCTGAAATAAAGATTGAGTTACAAAATGCAGACTTTCTCACAGTTGTCTTCTATTTCCTTTTGTAAAAAGAAGTTGTTAAGTCCAGTCCATGGCCATACTCTCTGTGTCTTCTTTTAAAGTTTCATATAAGACTTAGCTTTTATCTTCTTCTTCACTGGAGTGCAAGTCTAGTTTTTTGTCTTATTCCTGTAGTTGTTGCTCCTGTTCATTCCAAAGCAATCATGCCTGATGCTTCCAATGTAATGCATTGTTTAATTCTCCTACACTCAAACCTCTCACAGTGTGATGATTTCTTGCTGAAGCATATTTTATTGCTCTTGCAGGCTCTGGGCTTTCTCAGCTTCTTCTTTTCATCTTACTGAAATTCCATTTGAATTCTACAAGTTGTAGGTTTAGCGACTAGTATTCCATTTGTGCTGCATGAAGCTTCCTGTAAATTCAAATATTGCTTTCTGCAAGGATGCTTTGTTTTTCATACTGGGCAGTCTGCCACACGATCCTCCAGACAAGGATTCTTTCTCCAGATCAGCGGTGCACTTGCTGTGGCCTAGTGAAACTGTCTCCATTATTACATTCAGCTTGTCCATAATTTCTGAGAAGGAGTTTCTGGCTGCACCTGTTTTTAAATGTCCACAAAGCCCTGACTTCAGCTAGTTAACAACATTCTGCTGTTCGGTCATGGAACTGATTATTGCGGCATGGAAATTAACTAGGAAACCAACTGAGTGCTTCAAAGCTATCAGTTTCTTCCTTTTCACAAACTGGCAGATTATGCCTGAATTCGGATTCTCCTACACACACTCGAAATCCAGTTCCTGCTTTTAAACCCTTTCATCCAGATGAAAAGGGAACAAGAAGACTGGGCTGAAGCTTTAAGCCTTTTAGCCACCAAAAATGCAATCACAGCTCCTCAGAACACACACACCAGGCCTTTGGTTCATCTTTTCCTCAGCCTTGCTTCATCTTGATTGTTTTCCTCAGCCGCAGGGAGTGCATTAATTAGGCTCCTGATTTTCTGTTTCACTAATTTGTGGATGTTGACCTGATCCTGGAGAGAGTCTCTTTAGGAAGAATAAGCACACAGCTGGCCATAGAGAGGACACAGCCATACCACGCTCCTTTTTGCCTGCTCCTATTCCTTGCATTTTCTAAATCCTTTGTTAATTTGCCTGCTAATGTCCTGGAGATTGCCCCAGGTTCACAAGTAAGAAGAATTAGAAGCTTATGGAAGTTTTCTATACATGGAGATAAATACAAAATGCCACCATTAAGCAAAGATACAAATAAGGAAGAATAAAATAAAGAGCAACTGCACGGCCACTGTTACACACAAAATATGTGAGATTTTGTTTCCACAGCAAGACCCAGCTACTGAGGATTTGGAAGTCAGCAGATCTGTTTGTGGCAGCTCACCACTAGTCTGGAGCTCAGCAATCACGTGCCCTATCATGGATATCCTTCAGAAAGAAAACATGTCAGAAAAAAAATCATTTTCTTCCAGAGGCCACTCTGAATTCTGCAGGAATAATGATGGTTTGTTTTATTTTGCTCTGAGACACTTAGCTGGTGGGAAGAGAAGTCCTCGTGAAAGCATGGTAGTTATAAATTGGACAAATTAGGACTGATCCTAGGAAGCTGGGTTTGAAACACTCAGCAGTTTACTCTCCATTCATCAGCTCCTGAAGCATGGGCAGTGCAAAATGAGAGACAGGAGGAGAATTGGGACAGAGAGGTTGGAGATTTAAGGGTTGTTACACCAAGCAGAAAATGCTAGAGAGGTTTTGGCCTTAAATCCTGCTGCTGAGAGCAAAACTCTTACTTAATAACCCTATTATTCTCTGTTGCTTTTGGGGATGAAACCTCTGTTGAAGCCAAGGATTTTAGAGACATTTAACCCCAACTTTAATTTCCCTGGTGCATGTGGGGAAAGGAGCCATTTTCCTTGCTAAAAAACATGCCCTGCATGCTGTCATCACTGTCACAGGTGCTGGTATGGGAGAAGATACCTTTGGGTTTGATCTCATCAGTCAGATTTTCAGCTGCAAAACAGCAGCTTAAACATCACTGACCACTGCTAAAATTCAAGATGCAGTTTTCCTAAGGTGTAAGCAAGTGGTAAAAGTTTTCTGTTAGAAAATAATTAAATGTATGAGATACTGTTTTGTCATTAATTTCACTCCACCAAAAATGCCCTTCACAGAGGATGAAGGCTAAGAGAGTTGAGGGCAGCGTCTATGAAGCAAAATCCTTATTGTTTTTAATTGTCTAAATCCTAAAAGGTTGTTCATCTTTTTCATCCTTTGGTTATTACTGAGGGACAGCATTGTGCTGATGAAAACCAAGTGCCTGAGTTGAAGAGCTCCACTTGTGACTCAGGAAAGGAGGAGATGATGGGGCAGGGTGATCTAGGCATCAGGTGCAATGCTATGTGCAATGCAGTAAATCAAATCTCTTCCTCTTCCACTCTTACTCCCACACACAGGAAAACGAATTGTATGACTCCACACACTGCAGATGCAAACACAAGATAATTGGAAGGTGAGCCTTGACTTTGAACTAACAGAATTCAACTTAGTTCAGTGCATAATCACAGCTGGAAGTCCATGCATGGATATTCTGTTCCAGGGAGGTGCAATGTTGGCTGGGTTTTAAAATATATCTGAAGGGGTTTAGCTTCTCAGATGCCACTGAAAGACAAGGAAAGTTGGGCCCCTGTTCCCTCTGCTTCCATTAAAATTTTCTGTAAAGACAGACCTTTCCATCAGCAAGAATGGTGTGTGGTGGTTATGCTTCTGATAGGTGTCAGCAGTGTTTTTGAACAGTGCAACAAGCTGAGCTGAGGAAATTGCCATTAGCTTTTCTGAGAAAGGTAAACCCTCATCATCTCTAAAGGTAAATACAAGTTGATGATTGCTCACAAAAATGGATAATGGCTAAGGCTCTCAGCTAGTATAAAATTACAGGGTGAATTCAAAGAACTAAGCTCATTAACACAAACTGCAGAGCGGATGAACCTTGAATAGCTGGAAATGCTGGCCTTTGGATTTTATAATTAGACTTCTGATAGGAAAGAGAGACATGAGAGATCAAGAAAGCAATTAATTCTGTCACAAAAAAAACATGTCTGACTCATCAGCATGAGCAGCAGAAAGATCTCTAAAATTTGTCCTTTGAAGCCAGGGTACTGTAACAGAGCTGTTTGAATAAAGAGAATGAAAAAAAACAAAATGCACAAAACGCGCTCCTTCTTGCCTGGCTGTGTTTCCAAACTGCCATCTCTTTCTTTTCAACTGCTGTGGAATAACACCCAAGTCGAGTAATTGTCATCTGTTTTCATTTTTTGGGTATGTGAGTGCATTCAGAGTAAGCATTGCAGAATTACTCAAAATTAATAACAAGAAATCTATCTTCTGGTGGTTCTTCAATCTTGATTCATATGTACAGCCCCATAATATGAAAAGAAATTAATTGTTATAATACACTATACATGGTCTAGCTTCTTATAAATGAAGAGTATTCCCTGAGATCCCAAAGAAGAGTAAGGTCACACAGGTATGAAATCCCTGAAAATCTGACAAGTTTCTTAAGGACATTAAGTTATCCTCTGTGGCAGTAAGGTCTCCAAATGTAAGATGCTTTTCAGGGGATCTGCAAGTGTAGTTTCCCTAATAAAGAAGGTTTTGCACGCATTTCCGAGAGGGAAGGTGATTCATCATGCCAGGTTGAAACCCAGTACACTGCAATGTAAGCAGCTCATGAGACTTGGTGGCACAGTGTATGGAAATCCAGGCATGACCCACACATTCATAGGATTGCAAGGAGGTATTTGCAGTAATGGAGCAGAACTTTAGCATCATATCCCCCCTGTTCCGTGCAGAAGTACCATGCAGGAATGATCCTTTCTGATTCAGCCAAGTGTTTGGGGAGGTACTTGATTCCACACATGCAATTAAACAGGACAGGAGACTGATTTAAGCAAGTAAATAGGATTAAGTGTAGGCCTAATGGTTTTGCATCACACGCAGCCTGTGCTTTAATGACTTGCTGAAATGAAGAATGCCTTTTGTTTTCTCAATTGATTTTTCTCAAGCCTCTGGGGTTGAGAAAAGAGAACAATCCAATTGCAGAGAAAATCTTGGACAGCAATGGCACATCCTTGCAAATGTTCTGTAGCCATCAGTGGACTGGATTTCTCCATTGTCTGAACACACGGGCAAGAGCTTCAGCCCAGCTTTACAAAAGGTGGACTCAGCATGGCTCAGCACCATCCTGGGAGCAAGAAGGGGGAAGGGATGGAGGAAATGTTAACCCTGTGTTATGTGTAATGAATGTAATTCGTGCCAGTATAACATGATATATGTAATATTTGACTTTGTTGGAAGCACACACACTGGCATTGGGAGCTGTCCCCACATATTCAAAACCGGACTCTGACAAAACCTCATTTGCCAACTAATACATGTGGCTCACCTAGAGATGGGCCCTTTCTCGAGGTGATACAGGGATGCCCAGGCGTTAATCATCCCAGCAACAACTCTAGATTGGGATCCCTGAAATCCTCCGGGCTGATACATCTGAATGCCACGTGGTGAATGTCGTGTTCCAGTAACTCCATCAAGAAGATTCATCACGACCGGACACCGAAGTGTTCCACCCCAAAATAGAGAAAAGAGACTTTATGAATATGTGGGGCTTTGAATGAGAAGAAAAGATGGATTGCAGAAATCCCAGCCTCGGGCAGAATATTTCCTATAAAAACTGCTTGTACCAAGAGGGTGGTGTGTGGGCATATGGAGAACCTCTGCTGAGGCTGTCCACTCTGTGACACGCCCAGTGCTGATCCCGGGCCCAGCACTGTCCTTTTTCTTGTGGCTGGCTCAGAGAGAATTCAATCGCTATAATAAAATTGTTATTTTTCATGTTTAATTTGGCTGGATCAATTTTTATCTATAACAACTGCCTAATGCAGACACATAAATTCAGTGCCTGAATAAAGAGTGTGATTCACAATGGCTGTATACATCTGTGGTAGGGGACTTGGGAAGAGTACCCCCGGACATGCCGTGGGAGGAGGCTGGGGTGTAGATTCCCGCCTCCCAAGTTGCCCATCAAACTTACCACTCCCCCCACATTATGTAATCTTCAGTTATACCCACCTTTAGAGGTATGTCAATCACCCTTTGTACTTGCCTTTTGTTCTAGAATGTTCTTGAGTTCCCTGGTTGTAATTGGTTCTCCTTAAGTTACCACCCCCTTCCCTCATCCTCATTTGTTGTATCCCTATTACCTCACCTCAACTCCTCCTCCGAGCCCCGTTCCCATTGGACCCTTTGTATCCTGCCCCCTCCTACCTACCTCCTGATATAAAACCTACCCCGCCCCTTGTTCGGGGCTCTCTGAGCCTGCTCCCTCGCCGAGTGGACGGGTCACAGATCCCTGCTGACACCCAGCCCTCAGCGAATAAAGCAGTGCCTGAGAGACATCCTGCCGTGGTGTAAGCTCTTTATTTCCATCGTGTCGGCCTAGCCACCTTACCCAGAGCTATCCCGGCACATACATCTGGAGACAGATAGTCTCTATAGTGTAACTCAGAATGACCTCTGGAACCTATAGATGCTCTAGAGGAGGCTATGTCTATTAATTTTAAAGTAAATACAAATAAATATTCAAGGTATTATGAATACTTCTTCCTGAGAAGCTTCAAGTTCAATGTTCAAAGTCTTGAAAACATTTTGACTGCAATATTTTTGCTAGAGACTCAAGATCCAGTGTTTGCAGAGCCCAATAGACACTTGTTAGTTGTGTTACAAAGCCAGCAATGTTGAACTGTCTAAACTGTTCAAAGCCCTCTGCTAATAAATTATTACAAAAGTTTTTAACCTGAAACAAAATCACTTGTCACTTGACTTCAGTCTTGCAGGATATTTTGAAGGATCAATATGTTGGATGGGACTGTTGTGGATGTAGCTGCTGGTTTTTGTTTCTTGTATTGGTGAACAGTTATTGTCAAACAGCTTCACTCCATCATGTGGTGTTCATCACCAACTACTCATGTGACAGGTATAATTTCTCAGTGCTGTGGATCACTATTGTAACTGCAAATTATCTTTGAAAGTGTATTTAAAATGTCAGTTTCCCATCGCCTAGTTCATGATAGGTTGCTGGCACAAGTGTGTGCTTCCCTCCCAGTTTATTTTATAGACAGAATGATAAATTCCTGCCACTCCCTTTCTGCCTTTCCCTGCCTCTCAACTCTTTTCTCGGAAGAACTGGGCTTACAGGAGCTTCCACTTGGTGACTACTGTGTGTTTGTGTCAGAGCAGGGAGAGAATAGTTTTCCTGCCTGGCTTCTCAGTCCTTCCAAATGCTGTTCTACTGCCACATCCGTTGACTTTCACACAGCAAGGGAGCCTTTGAAAAGGATACGGCTTGGCTAGAGCTCCTGTCAGACCACATCAGGATAATCAGCTTTGAGAAAAACAGGTACCATGTGCTCGACCCTGGGTGCATACATGTCCTCCCTGCTGCATCCATGAAGCTGTGAGACAGGGATCCTGGCAGCTCTATAGTGCCTCACTGGAGGTCTCTTACAGGCAGCATGGCTGTGACACAGCCCCATGAGGAGGAGAATTTGCAGCTTGGTGTGTAGGTCACGGCTGTTCAAGTTTATCTGGCCAGGCTGTCGGCTTTGATCTGACTGTGCCTGAACAGCTGCTTCTAGTGAGAACTGTGCATGGCAGGGGGAAATGTTAGACTGAGCCTGCTATTCCGTTTGGAATGGAGCAGAACTGGCTTCCAGATAGCACCTGGCAGAAAACAGGGAATGTGCAGCCAGCATATGCTCCGTTAAAAAATTTCAATATGTATGACTTGACAAAGGACTGTTACCAAAAGATGATGGAACACAGTGGAGGACTTTGGAAAACTGAGTTGCTATGCATTTCAAAAATCAGAGAAATATTCCCAGAGTAATGAGGAAGTAGCAACTGTGATGCCTGTGCCACAGGATGTTGCATATGAGTGTGTGTATGGTATGAATGAATTCATAGTATTGCTTGGCTGTGTTAGACCGTGACTGGCAATTACAGCAACTTTTAGGAGCTTTTAAATAATTTTTTTTATGATTGTCTTAAATATTCTGAATAACAGTGAGGATCTCAGGGCATAATGAAATGGGATAGTCATTCTTCTGTATCTTTCTGAAAGATACCCTTAAAAGTGTGTTTCTACGTTTCTATTGCAAGGTTACAAAAAGAAAAAGGAGCACAATCATGGAAAATTCATTCAGAATCCGAGCTTCACCTATGAAAGAAGGGTGAGGCTTCTAAATTGCTGATTTGTTCTTGTCATAAATATCAAAAATGAGAATATGCAGGTTGCATATGGGTTCACCAGCCTGCATAGATGTCTGACCGCCATCACACTGTGCTTCTCCAAGTTGTGCTAATATTATTTAGAAGACTGGGTTAATGATGGTTTTCTAACCTAAAAATCAGAGTGCTTTGTGCACCTGACAATGACCTCAGCATCACTGGAAAGTTGCAGTTAAGTTTAAGGGCAACCATTTAAAGTTAAGAATCAAATGTGGATTGCAACAAAATGTACTAAAAAAACCTGCTTCCTATGTGTGGGGGAAAGCAGCACAACTTTATGGCTTGTTTGCACACCTGTACAGACTTGATAGACCTTTAAAATTTGCCTATTACAAGCCCCAGGTGTTATGCCTTAGACAGTAAGAGTTGAACTAATTAGCAAGTTGAAAAGTTTAGGTTGTTCTAGCAATTAAAGACTTTCACATGGATTTATGTTCTCTTCTACTTGCAGAGCTTGATGCAGTAGCTCTCTAGCAGGTATCATTCTTTGCAGTAGTTTTGCAAGAGCAGGGACTGTTTCTTGAGTATTTCAATGAATTTATATTGAAAATATCCCCATTGTTAGCTTGTTGTACCTTTAAACAAATGGGTGAATCAAGTTCATGAAGCTTAGGAAGAGAAATGACACTTCCAAGGTTGCCAGCAGTGCTGGTGATTTTAATTGATCTACAGCAAAGAAAAATGTGCACCTCTGTGTTTGACTCCCTGGAAAGGAACAGGATGCACTACCACAAAGATAACTTAAATTAAAAAATGTGTGGCATTTGAGTTTTCTGTTTCCATGACATCTTAAACTTCATCATGTGTTAGGTACTACACAGAAATTAGGAAATAAATTGGTTAATGTGGTGCTGCACATGAAAGCTAAGATCAGTTTATCTGGACACAGTGGTGATAACAAAGTACAAATGAGTACTTTCCTTTTCTTTAAGTAAAACTGCCTTGAATGTGTAGACTGAGAGCCGCGTCTTGCTCTGCTGTGTTGTCATTTCGGTTCTGAAATTACATTTTGCTTACATCTTGCTGATATCTGCCTGGCTCTATAGGCTGAGTTGATATTTTATTTTTTTTTTTTTTTTTACCATAGCAATCTATTTTTTTGTACCATTGTTATGTGTGCTGGACTCTTTTCTTCCTTATTCTGTATCTGTAAGCATTTTAGTCTCTTCACTTTGAGTGGCTGATTTAAGGAAATTGAGAAATTAGGATAGCAGACAACTGAGATGAATTGAAGTAGTGTCCTAGATTGCAAGGCGATGTGTGCATTCTATTTGCCATCTGTTAGAGGTGGGGGCAGTTATCTTCTGTTAATTGGGCAGTTTTCTTTATCTCTTCCACAAACCAATCCTCCCTCTGGGGAAACATCTGCTGTTCATGGGCCGTTGAGCCTCACTGCAGGACTGATAAAATTACATCATCCCGCTGTGAGATGTTCTGCCCAGAGGGAGGAGCCAAGCATTCCTACCTGGATATAACCTGGGCTTTTGGCTCACCAGGACAGCCCGTTCCACTGGGTTCCCAGAGGAAGACCAGCCCCATCTACACCACCACTGGACCTTCAGAGGAAGACCACACCCTTCTACAGGATCACTGCTTCAACAGAACCACACCTGCCACTCCAGGAGGACTGCAGCCAACATTTAATCAGACCACTACCATCCCCCTGGCCAGGAGGGTGTCAGGTTGTATTCTGACTCTTGTAGCAGCCAGAGACCCTGCAAGGCCTCCCTGGTGGTCATTTACCTAAGATAAAGAAATGCCTAGTCATGATGATAGGAGCAAAGAAGCCCCTCTTCTGCCTTTGGACCCTCGTTATCTCTCTGTAAGACCAAAGGTCATATTCGCCTGGACCCTTACTACTGGACAATTTCCAACACCCCTGTACCCTATATAAAACCCCATTTCTGCCCAGTTTGACAGAAGAGGTGTCACTGAAACCCTTTGCAGAAGCTGCCAGTAAAGACGCATCTGTGGAACCTCATACAGCCTTCTCCTCTCTCTCCACACATCCACCGAGGCACCTAGCAAGCAAAGAGCTGAAATTATCAAAGGGCTGGATTCACCAAAGAGCTGATCTCACTTAAGAGCTGAGCTGCTTGCTAAGATTGCCCATGGCTCAGAGCCTGCCTGAAGGACCTGGACAGGTTGTGCTTAGCGGGATTTTGCTGTTCGGGACACCTATGGCAGCTGGGGTTGGATAGACCCTGAGAATCCCAGGCTGTAATAGACTCTGTCAGTGTTTTTAGCAGCCTGAA